TGTGGATTCACGTGGACCAAGAGAGATTAAGGAGGGATCAATTCATTTCTCTCTCTAATCCATATGTATTAGGAGCGAACGGATTTATCCAAACTGGATTTGAAGTCTATATGATGTTTTTAACTAAAAAAGTCTATATGATGTTTATTGCAACTTCTCTTGAATCATAGGGATCACCTGGTACGGTCATTGAGGCAGTTGTGCTTAAAGCTTTCTCAATGTGTACAGCAGTTCCCCATAAAAGGTTTGAAGCTGCACTTGAGGTTGTCATGCTTATAATTTATAAAATTTACATATCTCATATAAGGTCTCAAAAAATCTATTAGTTCTCTCATGCATTTGCTAACTGATAGGCTGTCGAGTCTTCACTTGCCGACATAGTCGTTCTTCCTATTGAAAATTCATACACTGGAAGCTTCCATCAGAGCTATGACATACTTCTTAGTCACGATTTGCAAATTGTGCAAGAAGTAGAAATGGATGTAGAGCTATGTCTTCTAGCTTTACCTGGAGTGCATAAGGATGATTTGAAGAAAATTTTCAGCCATCCACAGGTTATGATAAAAACCAAACATTCATATGCATTTCATGTGAAAAAACTACTAGAAAGACAAAAATTAGAGCACACTTAGTCTTGACAAATGTGTTATGTTTCAATCTCTTCCTCATATGTGAGTATTGTATGCAGTATCTTGCTCAATGCGAGCATTCCATTTCTAATTTAAGTGTTTCAAAGAAAGATGTGGATCATGGAGCTGCAGGTGCTGAGGTACCTAATAAAAACATCCCATGGTCCTTTTCATATGTTATATTTCGGATATGTGACTCTGAATACCTCTTTTGCAGATTATATCCAAGAAGAATTTAAGGGATACTGGAGTAATAGGCAGTGCTCGAGCCGCAGAATTATATGGGCTTAACATCTTAGAATGCAACTTTCAGGTAGTAACACCTTTTTTGGCATTTATCTGAAGTTTAGAGCTCTTCCAATAGTCAATGTACATAAAGAGGCTATTGAGGATATTTTTCACCAAAATATCTATTTCTATAAATTAAAAAGGATAGAAAAATCTCTTGAAGTTGCTCTTGCAATGAGTTTTGGCTACCAATGACAATATACATACCGTTTTATCTTATTGATTGATTTTCCTTTTATCTGTTTCCTCGATGTTGCGCAATCATGATTCACTGAACAAGTATATATATTACATTGTTCAAAATATATTATTTTCTCTTTAGGATTTCTTTTTAGTGTTTCTGTCAGAAGAATTTACTTGACCTCCGGTTATAAAATTGGTTCATTTGATCGGAGAGGCTGCCTGACAGAGATCAGTGCCCTGTTCGCTTGGCTGATAAGCCATGGCTGAAAGTACTATTGGCTGATTTGTTGTGAGAAAAAATATTATTCATTGGCTGAAAAAGTACGGCTTATAAGCCAAGCAAACAGGGCGCCCTTTGGCAGGTTATCTGGCTGCCGTATACTGATAGGCCGCCACGGCGCCAAGCATAACCTGCAAAAAGTTACGTTCAGGGTTTACCGGTATAGTGTGGCATGGAACTGAGGTAGCATATCCGTTAGGCACGTGTAATCTGTAGCGACATTTTTGCTACTTCCATGCCGCAAAGTGCGACATTTTTGCTTTGTGTTAAGTTAAGCTTATGTCAAGTTTCATTAAATTATAGAAAAGAGTATCCACATCTATGGTACCTTTTGTGTATGATTGATATATATAAGTTTTATTTGAAGTTTTCTATATACTACTTCCTGGAAAAACTCTATTGGCTTCTTCACTTCTCTTAAAAAACATCCTAAAAAAAATTCCGGCCCTTTTGGAACATAGGAAAATTTCCTATTTTCTACATTTTTCCTATGATAATGAAATAATTCTATGAAATTCATGCACAGTTCTTGTGAAATTATGCATTCATAAGGGCTCAAAGATCTTTCTTTGATATAGTTTTCCTTTTTGTCGGATTGCGCATATTTTTTTCTGACAAATATTGCCAGGAATTCTTCTTAACCTGCCAGGTTTTGGTTCATGTTCACTTGTTCAGCTTCATCTCATTCAGAAATCTAACACTATCAAGACAAAAAATGTTGCAGGATGAATCACCCAATGTCACAAGGTATCTGGTATTGGCAAAAACTGCTAACCTTCCCCAAGAACACGGTCAATATAAGGTATTTATTTATTTTTGCTATGTTAGTAAAATCACATACATTTTAGTATCAGGTGTTCAGCGATGAAAAATTATATATGTTAAATTGTTAATATTATATATCAGACAAGCGTTGTTTTCGGTCTCGAAGAAGGACCTGGAACACTTTACAAAGCTATAGGGGCATTTTGGAAGAGGGGTATAAATTTGACAAAGGTGATACTGGAACAGTTTGTCTTGAGTTTTCAAAATTGCTACAGGATTCCTTGTTCTGAATCATTTGCCTTCTATTTGCCCACCTGAAGATTGAAAGCAGGCCAAACAAAGGCAAACCAATGAGGACTCGCGGAACTGAAAAGTATGCTATTGAACTTTCAGCATAGAACTACTACTATTTTATTTTGAGGAATATAGAACTACTACTATTTTATTTTGAGGAATATAGAACTACTACTATGTCTTCCTGTTAAATAATCATTACTTGAATATGCTGGAATCTCTGTGAATGTTTCCTCTGGCTATTCTCTTTCTCCTGTTTCATTAATTCCCACCAAGTAAGTTATCCTTCTGATCTGATCCTGATGACACTCACATTTATCTGCGCTGATACATAAATTCTGCTTAGAACAGTCGAGGGGGTTACTAATTACTATGTGTGTCTGACGAAAAGAAATTCAAGAACTTAGGTTTCTGCTTATGCTTCTCTGCAGTAAAACAATAGTTAGGCAGCCTGAAACACCATTCTTGCCTTGCTTATATAAGGAACATGTCTTAAGTATTTTCTTCCCTTTTTGACAATTAACGAAATGCTGTCAAGATATCGTCGGGACATATCTAATGTATGTTCCTCCATTAGATACATCGATGACATCTCTCAGTCTCATCAAATTCAGCGTCTTGGTTGCAGGCAGTTCAATTACATTTTCTACGTTGATTTCGAAGCATCGACTGCAGATGTCCGTGCACAAAATGCCTTGAAGTATCTACAGGTTGGTCATTAGTGTTGTGTCATCTGCATGCTAGTAGTACAATCGAGGGATGATAAGATTTACTATAGGAAAAGACGTATCCATGACGTATCCATGACGTCCAAAGGAGAGATAATCACCCGATCGTTTTGCTCAAGATGAACATGCTACTATATATGCAGACATTTTTCAAGTGAAATGCTAAGCCTAAGCTCATACTGGTAGTGTTTGCGTCCTTCTGTCAGGTTATTAACCCAAAGGGTATATGTGTTTACAGGAAATTGCAAGTTTCTTGCGTGTCCTTGGCTGCTATCCGTACAGCACAACAATTACCTGAACTGCTGCATCAAGCTGTCTCGGTTGCTCCATCTTGAAGACTTAATAATTCCGATGGCATCCCAGCTGTAGTTCCATGTTGAAATAATGAGCACCAGTGTTCAGTGCAAGCAGATTTACTGTAATCGAACCTGATTGCTGCTATCAGATGTGTGTGGTTTCATGCAAAAATTCTGGTGAAGTTTCAAAGTTTCATGCTTCAGATCACCAGGTGTTTTGAGATAAATATACAGTATGGTCCAATTCGATTTCAAACAGAACATAAGCAAAATAAAAATAAAAATAAAAATGTGTTGGGAGCGATTTCCATGTGCTGTATCCGAAAGCAGCAAAGCACGTGCATGATCAATGTATTCCTGGGATTGTGTGTGTGTGATGGAGCTGGGCGCGTGTGATGCATGGTTCCTCTTATTGTGCAGGCCTATCTGTGCGCATCATCATGGCAATAATGCGTCCGCTGCGCCTGCCGAAGCCGTCGTCTCGCATGCGATGCGACATGCATCCCTGTGTCTGTGTTTGTGTATGCCCGCATTTTGAAGGGCAAAATCATTGGGGGAGGGGCACGTTACCGTGCGTCCGTGCGTGCATGTCTGCCACAACACAAGCAATTTCTACAGATGGACTCGTGGACCAGCCTATCATATATGCTAGGATTCATCTTGCTGTTACGGTAGTAGTATCAACGACATTTGATTGATTGCAACCTGTCGATACGCACTGCTCGCTTGGTCGTATTTGGCTTATAAGCCACGACTTATCAGCCAACGAACAGTATTTTTCTCTCACACAAAACCAGTCAACAGTATTTTCAGTCATGGCTTATAAGCGAAACTAATCCAAACGAACGGGGATGATTTCATATAGGATCGCTCATAATCCATGCCATCTTATTATTATCTTACCTTATGATACTTCTATTATATCTATAAAAACCAGGCCAGAGACGTACACCATGTTCGCAGTTTATGTGGTTCTATCTATATAAAGGCGTTATAAATAGTAAAGTCTTCTTATATTTTACGTTGCATATGAGCATATATGTACGTAGCAAACACAGCTAGAAAAACAATTTGAAATGGAGGGAGCAATAAAAAGAAAAGGCAGGCCGCTGAAACACAAAACCCATGAAACTTGGCCCACAAATCCAGTATCCAACCTAGAAACGGCCCAAAATACAGCCCAAACTGACCAAAATTCAAACCATCCCGCCCGTGTGATCACCATCCCCCCAAGGATTAACCGAGGTCAACAAAACCCCTCTGGTCGACCCGCTTCCTGGCCCACCGGTCAGTCTGTGCCACAACAGCAGGACGCGTCGCTCGCATCGCAGCGGCCGCAACGCCCCCCTCCTGGCCTCCCCTCCCAACATTTTTTTAGCCAGCCGCCTAACCCTCGCCGCCCATCTCCAACGTCTCTCTCTCCAGGCTCCAGCTCGTCTCGCCATCGCTTCGCCTCCTCTTCGATCCCCACCGGCGGGCGATCTAGGGTTCCCCCCACCTGAGACTCCGATCGGCCGCAGGCCTCAGCGCCGCGGAGATGGAGGCGCTCTCCCTCATCGACGTCTCCGCCGAGGACGATCTCCTCTACGACCTCGCCTCACCGGCCCCGTCGCGTCCCGATCCGCCCCACGCAGGTGAGGTATTCCGCCCCCATTTCGGGAGGATTTCCTCGGGAGGAACCGCGGGATTGGTGCCTGCTGTTTCGATTGCGATTCGTGGATCTGACGGGAGACGATTTTCCTTTAGGGTCTCTGGTGGGTGCCGAGGCGACCTCCTCCGTTGGTTCTCCGTCTGCGGCGGGCCGGGCTGCGGATCCGGACGGTGTGATGGTGGAGCAGGCGCCCCCTGAGCGGACGGAATCCCCGGAGCAGCGGAAGGCCAAGAAGGGGGTAAACCTCCGCAAGAGCTTGGCTTGGGACAGCGCCTTTTTTACCAGTGAAGGTTTGCTTCAAATTCATGAATCGTGATCCAAATTCTATCAATTTTGTGAAATTATTGTCTCTAGTTATAGACTCGTGCCTGTTAAATTCTATCCTTGTCTTTTTGCTGCTACTTCTGCCTGGTTCTTAACTCACTTAGAATGGGTTTCATTTCCTGCATTATTAACTTGTACTGATGTTTAATATATGTTACTTAATTCTCTTGGCTCCCTGAAATACACGAATAAGAAGTGGAAAGATTAATAAAATAACAAAGTGAGCTGAATTACACCGAATAAAAACAAATTGCAATGTTTCATTATGAAACTAATGTAGGCTTCTACCTTTCCTGTAGAACTCAAAATGTGTAGTTGTTGTCCAAAATAGTAAAAATGCAAGATACAGGAACATGCCATGTTGTGTCCACACTCCACACAACTGTTGAGGTAGATGCAGCCTCCTTTTACAAACGAAATGAAGTATGCATGTTACATGGATTGGTATGTTGTTGTGCCTTTGTTTATAAAATACTTTTCTATTTCTAGATGACCTGCCCTATACTATTAACTAAATATGGGCTTCCAGGAAGTCTGCAGTTGATGCATTTCTCCAGTATGCCTCCCATAATCTGCGATATGCTTTTTCACCTTGGGCATTTCTTAAGAGCGCTTGGAAAAGAACAACCTGAAGGAAGTAGATTAATTATGGATTCACCAATCAGCACAAAGAAATATGCATAAGATTTATCCATTGATTTTACCTGCATGTCAACATTTTTCATTAAATAACACAAGCTTGTACAGACAGTACCAACTACCAGCGGGCAGCAAACCTAGCCTCAAACTGCATCTCAATGCATATGCATATGACCTGCTTGCAAAATAAATTGAGCCTATGCATTTTAAATTTCACTTCTAAAGTAAGAAATTTCATGGGCACTTGATTTTTTCTTGTAAAAATGAAACCATCTCTGAGTACCATTAGTTCATTTATTATCTTTACTTCTCTGAGCATTTTTCTCAAACACATGCTGGATACAGGCAACTACTGCAGAACTGTGAGCATTTAATTACTATATGCCCTGTTTAATGCATATCCTACAACAGATTTGGTGTCAATACGTAGTTCACATGCGATTTTATCTCCCGGCTTTCCAGAGAAGTTTTGATAGCTTTTTGTTCAAATGAGTTGTGAGAAACTGAATAGAAAATCTTGCTGTTCTTCTTGCGAGTTTCTATGTGGATACTGTTACAAGATTCAAGGATATGTTTTGAAGCTTGGTTTTTCACCTGGTCACTTATGCAGAACTTACTAACATCTGAGATCAAATGAAACTTTTTTTAATGTGGTACAACTCAGTAAAAATGTCTGCTAGAGTAAATCAAAGAATTTTATTGAGCGTGTCTTAGGTTATGAACCTAGATTATATGGTGGTTAATTATGTTATTAGTGCTCCTTAGGAGTTCTCTAATATCCATGTGTCTGTGCACCTTGATCCTAGATCATGAAAAGAAATAGGCTCTTGCAGGAGAACTTAAATCTATCAGGAAGTGCCATGTGCATTGAATGAATTGCAGTAGATATTAAGCCATGAATTTAACTGAGGAAACATTTCTGTTCTGGAACTGCTGCAGTCGCTTGCTCTGGTAAACCTTGACGATGCAGATTGATAGTGACTCTTAATCTTTCCTGATGTTTGCAGGTGTTCTCGATACTGAGGAATTGGCCATTGTTAACAGCATGTTCCGTAAGACCCAGGGTTCCAGGCTGCCTGGAATCATGGAGGAAATGAGGAGATCAGGGGAATCAACAACATCAACTATGGAAAGTGAAACCTGGGCAATGGAAAGCCTTGAGACGGAACTATTTGACAATGTGCGTGCTTCGATCCAGAGGTCCCTTGGCAAACCTGATAAAGTTCCAGGTCGGCCTGTTTCTGGCTCAAACACCCCAAAGGCCATAGCTAATGTACCTCGTGTTGCAGGTAACAGGCCTCAAATGCAGATGCAATGTGCTACTTAGCATCTAAAACTTTAACTCTAGTGAGCTTTGCCTGCTGTTGGTAACTGACAAACATATTCTATTGTTCCTTCCAGCTAAAAAAGGTGTTGATCGGATGCCCCAGCCAAAGGTACGCTAACCACTTGATCATTTGTTCAATCTCAAATTTCTGTAATCATTTATGATCACTAATTACATTTGCTTATCTTCAGATAAGGGCCCCTGTTTCAACAAGCCAAGGAGCTGGTGGCAGACAAAGGCCCCAAGTCACCACCAAAGAGCCTGTGGCTGCAAGAGTTGTATGTCCCCTGTTTGTAATTCCTTAATAATCATGACCATTGTAGTTCTTTAACCATTCACTCAATGACTAGGATGGCCTCATGCTCTTGTTCGCAAGGTTAACTATTTTGTTCATTATATTTCTAATCATGGGGCTTAGCACAACTGACTTCCTGCTAACAATAGTCGTTTTCTTTTGAGCTACCAATTTCCTTTTTGCTTGTTTTAATTAAAAAGTTCCATCTTGTGCGTTATTCTGATGTCAGTTTCATATTTACACTTTTTTGCTTGAGTAGAATTTGCCAGGAGCTGCAGAAGCAAGGATATCCTCAAAACCTCCTAGGGCTCTGCCAAGAGTTGCTATGATGAGATCATCAACTAATACAGCTGTCATATCTGGGGTTTCAGACAAAAGAAGCAGCACTGGTGTGTTAATTGGCATGCATTTTTTGTTCACTCATACTATTAATATAACATAAACCTAGCCTAATATGTACTTTTCTCTTTCAGGGGGTGCTGTCAACAGGCAGGCAGCTGGTAAAACTGCCAGTACTTCAGCTGGCCTGAGATCTGGCGGGGGTACAAAGTCTAGTTTGGTCTCAAAATCAGGTCCCTTCACATCAGCAACTTCTTCCCATGGTGTGTCGATGGACACTAAGCCAAAAGGAAAAACCAAAACGGCAACCCTAAGCAACAAGAATAGGACTGCCCAGAGGGTCCCTGTTCATCCGGCATCAAAATCTGATATCAGCAAAACTATTCCCTCAAGATCATCAGGGAACAAGATCCCAGCTAAGGGCCGTGCTGACCGTGCATCACCAGGCATTTCACCTAGCAGCTCCATGGACAGCATGAGCTCTGTCATATCTGGGGCTTCAACCGCTTCCACCGTAGGGAGGATGAGCCATACATCTGAGAGTTTGAATGCACTGTCCCCATCCCTCAGGAAGAGCAATGACTGCCCTCCAACTCCAAAGCTTAGGCCTCCTATTGTCACAGATGGACATTCTTCTGGAACAGCAGCCTCTGGAGATAATTTAAAAGCTACTGCAGAAATAACCAACCAGGGAAAAGGCTTTAAGCCATCAGGGCTTCGGAGGCCCACACCCAAGATTGGTTATTTTGATGCTGTATGTGCAATTTTTTTTATATTCCTTAACTTGCAATAATGGTGATTTCCTTTATTATTGTGCTTCTAACAATCTCGCTGTGTATGTCTCAGGAGAAATACAATGACCAAAACATTGGTCAACAGGTACAACCGCAACCTTCAAAGGTCCTGTGTCTACCTGGCACACCAAAATCTCAGAACATGAATGTGAATGCCGCACCAGCTACCTACGACCAACAGGAATCAAAGTTGACCGCAGCACCTCATGAGGAAAGCTGTGTTTCCAAAAGTAAGGTGGTGAAGCCGCTGCCTCTTATGGTGGAAGTAGAGCCTTTTAAGGTGGCCGAACCAGCTTGCACAAACCTGACTGATCCAGTTGTGGACAGATCTGAAGCTGTATGTGCATTTTTTTAAGGGCGAATTGGCCACGGGACACCGAAAATGACCTCTCTTAGCTGGCGGACACTGAAAATAATCAGATTTGCTGAAAGACACTATGTTTTTTGCAAAATTTGCTGGCGGACACTGCGCCTATTAAAATATTCATTTCTGACTTTGGAGGTGAGAGAAGAGCGGCGAAATGTCATTTTCGCCCCTGCCTTCTTCTTCTTCCCTCTCCCTTTTCTTCTCTCCCCTGCACAGGTAGCACGCCAGCAACCGCTCCAGTTCCTCCGCCCTTGGTGGCGCATCGGGCAGGAGCATCCCGCAACGGCCGTCGCGGCCCTCGGCTGTGGCAAAGGCGTGGCGGCAGGTAGCGGGAGAGGCAGGCGGGGGAGCCATGTGGCGGAGGCGGCCATGGCGGACGACGGAGGCTGTGGCGGAGACAGACAAGCGTGAGGAGCCAGGGAGGCGCAGCCATGGCGGAGGCGAGGCACATGGCGCGTCTTGAACCTGTGGAGGCCTGGTGGGCAGGACACGCGAAGCGGAGGTTGTGGCGAGGAGTGGCGCGGGCGAGGCTGTGGTGAAGGCGCAAATGCTGGCCTTGGAGGTTAAGGCGGAGGATGGATGGAGGCTGGCGGAGATGAGCGCGAGACGACGGGCGTGAGGTTGTGGCGGCGCATGGACGCAAGGAGCATGGAGGCTGCAACCGGACGCTGGCGCGCCTTGCGCGGGCGCGGCCATGGCGGATGGCCGCCCCTGCTGGCACTGGGCGCTGCCTAGGTTGCCGCCGGCAACCAGCCCCCTACTGGCCTGCTTGACCGGCCAGTGAACGACCAGAGGTTGAAGAAGACAAGGGCAGTTTAGACATTTCCCCCACCTTCTCTCTCCTCTAAACTGAAAAATGAATAAAATAATCGGTGCGGTGTCTTCCGGCAAAGAACCACGAATTTGTAATGTCTGCCAGCAAATTTTGACTTTGGCGGTGTTCACTGGCCAATTACGTGTTTCTCCAGTGTCCCACAGCCAATTTTCCCTAAAAAATGTTCTTTCCCTTGCAAAATGTCCTATATCAGTGTGATTCTAACTATCTTGCTGTGCATGTACAGGTGCAACCGCAATCCATGGAGCTCCAGTGCTTGCTACCCGCCACACCAAACTCTCATCCAACCTTTGGTCAGCAAGTATTAAAACCTATAGCAGCACCTTATGAGGTTAGTGCTTGCAAAAGTAACACAGCGAAGGCGCCTCTGGTAGCTGTGCAACTGGAAGTAGAAGCTCCTCTGGAAGCTGTGCCCATGGAAGTAGAACCTTCTAAGGTGGACAAACCTTCAGCGTGCAGACACCTGGCCAGTCCAGTTGTGGTGAAACCCAAAGTACATGCATTTCATTTTGTTGGAGTATCTTCTTTACCACCGAAGCGTAAGGGGAAATGTCCTATGTTGATGTGCTTCTAACTATCTTTCTGTGTATGCTTTCAGGACAAATCCTTTGACCAAAACGCTGGAGGACTGCTGCAAGTGCAACTTGTCGCCGAACCTGAAGCATGCACGCGCAAGACTGAAACAGTGGTGGTTGCAGACTATTCGAAGGAGAATATTCCGGCTTTGCATCAGAATATACAAGCTAATTTCGATGCGAGTTCATTAGTTGATCTGCTGACCCAAAAGCTATCCTCCATTTCCCTTGGGGAGGCTACCCCAAACGTGCCCCCCAGGTCCTGCAGGGAATGAGCTTTGGATAGTATGCTGCTGGTTGTTTCTGATTACCCTCTTGTTATCTGTAGGCAACCGCAGCTGACGAGCCTAATTCCCTAAACCTGCTTGTGGTGTAAAATCCTTGTGCACAGGGCTTTATAGAACTTCGCTTTTCTATTGTATGCATATGCATGAACACCTGACCTTTGTCTATTGCCGTTTTGCAAGTAAAGTGTGTTTGGTAATATTACTTTAGTTTGTTTGTCTCGGTTCTATGATATTATTTCAATGTACTTTGTATTGCACGATCTGTTTCTACTGCCTTTAGTCCCAAAAAGAATATAATTCTAGGTTTGGACTAAGTTAATATTATTATTAAGTTTCACTAGATTTATAGAAAATAGTATCAGCATATATTTTGAAATATTCTGATTATGAGAATATATTCTATAATTATGCCTAAAAATATTAATAATCTCACTATAGATTAAACATGAGATTGATTGACTTGTGGAAAAGCGAGACATATGTTCTTCATGGGACGAAATATATAGTAAGAGCCAGTCACAACCCACAACGGCTACTTCTGGCTCTGCTCTGCTCATTAAATCTTACATCAATAGATGATATTTATGTTTTAATAGATTCGGCATATTATAAGAGAGAATAAAATTCAAAAATATATTTCATATGATTTTTTTATTAGAAATATGATCATTATTTCAACCTGTACTCCCATGTCTGCAGTTAAGAGTAAAATATACATTCCAAGCAAACTTATGTCCAGTGAATAAGAGTTTATCAGCAAAGTGATGCTTTCAGAGAGGCATGGCATTGCTCATTAGTATGACATCCCTGCTTAAAGCTAGAATCCAATGTAAGGACAAACTGAATCAGTGTATCTTTAACGAGAGAGAATTGACAACCTTTTTAGATTCAGCATGCCATTTGAACTGAATGGGTCATAGACCTCAGTTCCTGGCTTCCTGCTACATACATCATGAACAAAAGCAATTTCATTCAGAACAGAGGTAAAGGCCACTGGCCTCCCTACTCAACAATCTATTCAACGCAGAACCATTTACAACCAACATACATTTTGATATGGGCATTACATAGGGGTGACCACGAAATCTACACTACCGAATGAACGATTTATCTCCTAAATTCTGGTGCCAAAATTTCCAACGAAGAAAGCTGTATTGTGGTCAGAGAGGCGCCCCAAGTATTCAGACCATGGGCATGCTAGTATGCTACCTACATGTATGCCACCAAAGCATTTCTACAAATGCTGGATTCTGAACTCCTGTCAGAATGCCCCCCAGTAGACATGATCTCATTCCAAGCAGTGTTCATCCATCCATTTTCTGATATCTTTGTACAGCGACGGGATGAGTTGATGAGTTGCGATGATGCCATGTGGCATGTAAAGCCTGTGCCCAATCAATCATCACCGATCCATGTACCGGATGTCCCAATGCTGTTCTCGCCTTGTTTTGCACCTGAGCTCCTCATGCCTTTACATTGTCTATTCCCAGCTCATAACTGCAAAGCAAGGTCTGGCTGCTGTGCTTCCAAATTGATGCCAGACGATTGTCGAGCTGGTGGTGAACCTGGAGATGGGAACCCAATGTTCAAGTCCGGGCGGAGTACATCCTTGCCTGGCTTCTGTTGCATGTGGGGAACCAGCCCCTGCCATTGTGGTTGCCCTTGTGATCTCACGAAATCTGGCTGCACCAACTGGGGAAATATTACCAAACCCTTGTTTTGAACCGAGTTCTCTCTAACTACCTGAATAGGATGCCTAAAGAACTGAGGAACAGCACTTATTTTGGTATCATCAGAAGGTTGGACGTTAGCAAATGGCATTTTCCAGCCACAATTATTGTCAAGGAGAGTTGGGCTGACAATGGTTGGTTTGTTCTCTGTTGTAGCACCAAATGAGATCCAAGATTGGGCCACTGGAGCTGATGGAATGCTCTGGTTCTCCCTAACAGCAGCTGGAAATGCTGAGAACATGTTCCAAGGAGCATCAAGACCTCTGTTTGGTATATTTGCCTGGGCAGGCATTGCGGTTGTGCCTGCTGATTTTGTATGGTCACTAACAATCTTTTGTCCATTCAAATTCATGGCAAAAGTTGCAGCATTTACTGATTGATTTTTATTGATGAACCCAATACTGGTGGATGGTTTGCTTTTGTTTGATGTTCCAACCTTTCCATCACCAGGTCGTCCATGGTACACCCACGTTGCTTCATTTTTGGGCTGTAGTACAGCTGCTTCTTGGGACTGGAACAAGGGTTTAGACTGCCCGTTTGAGGGCATATCATGCACACCAGAAGAAGCTACTGCTTGTGACTGGAAAAATTGTTTAGGCTGCCCATTGGAGGAAGGCATATCATGCACACCAGAGGAAGCTGCTGCCTGTGACTTGAAGTAGTGTTTAGGCTGCCCATTAGGGGAAGGCATAGCATGCATACCAGAGGAAGTTGCTGCTTGTGACTGGAAGTAGTGTTGAGGCTGCCCATTAGAGGAATGCATATCATGCACACCAGAGGAAGCTGCCGCTTGTGACTGGAAGAAGTGTTTAGGCTGCCCATTTGAGGAAGAAGTATCATGCACACCAGAAGCAGCACCTTTTGCACACTCAACTTGCTGTGGTGCCATTTCAATTGGAATTTTGCTTTTTGATGAGTCAATTTTTCTCATTTGTTGAGGTCTAGTTGATTCTGGTGGTTGTAAAAACGGTCTAGGCTGGCCAGCCATTTTGTTTGAGGCAGGGATATCAAGCGCACCAGAAGAAGCTCCTTTCTGTAGCTGCATCTCAAGAGGTCGGGCACTGGAAGATGAATTGCCTTTTCTCATTTGATCATTGGTTGTTCTTTTGGTCTTTGCAACATTACCAGACACTCTATGGTTCTCATGCAGTGATGATGTGTCTGTGCTCCTGTGTTGAGGCTCTGTGGTAACACCAAATAATCTTGGCTTAAATTCTGGACTCTCTAGTGGTCCAGGCACTCCAACTACATTATTGCAAGTAGTTATCCGTCTCATATCCTTTGGGTTATTAGTTTCTGTTAGTCTGAGCCTTTCATTATCCCTAGGCAGAGGAGCATTCCTTCGTCTATTTGTCTCAGAGCTCTTCAGGTATCTAGGTTGATCATTCACAACAAGAATAGATGGTAATGGAGGCTCATATTCTCCAACCCAACCACGACCATACTTTACATCAGCAGGTAATGCTTGCCGAATGCGGTCAGAAGCAATTCTCCAACCTTGAGCACCAAGCGAACCAGCAAAACGAGCCAGACTCCTTGCATATGCATATGAGTGTTCAGCATCAAGCCCAACCTGCAACGCAAATTCAGCCAGTGAGCTAATCTAAATAAGAAAAACTGAACCACTACAGATAAGTCGGTATTTGATTTAATCATAGATGCATTAACCCACATTCACGAGCTCTTTTGGTTCCGCAGAGAAGACATCAAAAACTGGATCAGATTCCATTGAAGGCTGTTCTCCAGATGCATCATAAGTTTTCCGTCTAGTCTCATCTACCACAATTGGCTTGTAGCTAGGCTTGGCTGAAAAAACAGGGTAAATTAGAGAATAATTAGAATTCGACAAAGTGAATCTGAATTTCCTTTCAAAACATTTGGTTGCACAGCAGTAACAATCATAACAAATGACTGAGTGTCCTTTAGACAAATCATTCTGTGCATTACTTTAGGGTGCATCTTAGAACGAAAAGTCTTCGAAAGTATTTTTTTATTGTAAGTTATCTTACAATATATAGCCAATTGCTACAAAACAGGCATCGTATTAGAAGTACTTGGAAATACCAATCTATTGATACAGCTTCTGTGCACTAAAACATGCAATGCATATATTGGACTGACTTTTGGTCAAAACTTGCAAAGTCTGATGTTTTCAAATTAAAACATGCCTTATAAAAGTGAACCTTGGTTATATGTCAGACATCATCCTACCATATACAGCTCTATTATAATTAATACTTTAGCAATTCAGTTTTCTTGATAATAATAGTTATGTGTTTAAGGAACAACCTAAAAAGGGCCTGAATAAATGAACATCAAACGTGTAGTACAAGTGTATATGTTATATACAACCATAACCCCTCTGGACATCTAGTTTTGTATTTTGATGGCCCATCACATTTATCTATATATTTTGCTAATTGATCCACTCATGTGACATAGGTATAAACCAAATTCCAGTCTAAAATTGCTATATGTGATCACCAATGCACAAAAGTATAACGATTAGGCCTTAAGACTAACGGACCATCAGTAGACAAGGTGATTCAGGGGAAATGACCAGAAAATAAAAAGAATACAGTACCTGAAATATCGTCAGTCTTCTCAGATCTTATTTCATCTAGTGGAGAGTTGATATCTTTGTCTATAACCCCATTGGCAAGAGTACAACCAGTAGGTTCAGTAGCATTAGGCTGTGACATGCTTAAACCATTAGAGCCATCTCCCACAGAAGCAATAGTTGCAGCAGAGATATCTGAACCTTGAGCATCGTGGCTATCCATACAAACTGGCTTTTTAACAGCCTCTTCATCGCATGAGTAACCTTGATCATCTTGCTCAACTCTGCAACTAGGTTCCTTAGATGACTCCTGGTGACAATGGTCAAGGTCCTCTTCTCTGTTTACACTGATGGGCTTCTCAGAAAGCCTTTTCATAGATGACAAGCCTGCATCTTCAACATTTGTGCAAATGGGATCCTCAATGGGCTTTTTGCAGGATGAAAATACTGGATCTTCTCCATTTCTGCCAATTGGCTTCTTAATGTGTTTTTTCTGGGATGAGAAGTCGTCCTTTGAACTCTGCAGAGTGGACTTCTTGACTTGATGTTTGTGGAAAGGGGAGCTTTTATCATTTTCTGAATTTTTTGAAATGACTTTCCGAACTTGCTCTTTGCGAGAAGGGGAGTTCAGGTCGTCCTCCAAATGTCTTGAGATTAGTTTCTTAGGCCGCTCTTTGTGGAATGAGGAACTTAAATTG